TATATATATATATATATATATATATAGATCGATATATATTACTGTTATGACTCGTGAACGAAGTCGGTATATTGTTTGGTTATGTTAATTCCTGATATTGTAACTCAATGTAGCATTGCTTGAAGTTTAATATGTGCTTGAGACGTTAAATATGAGGCTTCTGTGTCATAGCTTCACACTAAAAGAGGAGGAAATGTATCCTATTCTTTTTTTTTAGTCTTCTTTTATTTGATAATTTGTTCGCTAGTTTTGATTATCTGATCACGTTTTTCTTCATTTGGGAGATTGGGATCCCCTTTTGTCTTGATTTGGTGCTTTTAATTTGTTGTGATTCAACATACTTTAGGCTAAATTATTCATGGATAGAAAATTTTGGAGTTAAAAAATATGGACTTAATTAAATATTATGTATTTTTTTAGTATAAAATATCCTGCACGGAGTACTTGATAAAGCATTTGGATAAGATTACTAGAATATTTAGCAGCATTTGCATGAAGGTTGAAGCTAGTGCTGCGGAATAACATTGTTCTGGGATTAAGTGGAGTTATTTATTCATGAGATTTTGAATTGTTATATTAACTGGGCAATACATAAACATTACAACATGTAAAACAAATGACTATTTTATACAACATTTGTTATTTAGGAACCAAAAAGGGTTCCAAATTGGGGTGCTTAGATTTGAGATAAGCGAGTAGTGAAATATAGAGCTAGTAAAAATAATTTGGTATTGCACAGGTATTTAAATTTTATTGGCCAATAAATGCATTTGACAGTCATTTAAATTATAGTACTTGATTAAAGTATAAATACTAAGATATTATTTTAACTTGCATTAAAGTAACAAGTATTTTCTTTTTCGGCCCAAAGAGTAATGTACGCAAGTTGAATTGAATGATTACTCCGTCATTATGGCATGAATAATTGCATGAAAGTAGACTCCAACTTTATGCATTTGCATATTTACCAACTTAAATTTGCCTTTTACATATTTATAATCCAAACTTTTCATATAATATCAAATATTACTATTATAACTTTTTATGTATGGGTATGATCGTATGTGTAAAATTTGTAGTTTAGATGTTTGATGTTTGAACACTAAAATTGAGTCGTATGTATGTAAAATGTTCTAAAGAATAATTGTTAAGCAGATCGAAGTTATTAGGCCTTGAATAGGCTTAAGATAAAGCTGCTTTTGCTGGTGGTGATATGAGTGTTGATTAGCAATAGAATATTCCAGTGATGGGAACGATGATAATGGCAGAATTTAATCATATATTTTATGATAAATAAGTGAATTTAATATAATAGGGGAAACATTGAAAATTATGAGATTTAGAATTAGTAAAATAAGGTCTAAATTTATGTAATAGCATTGATAACCATGAGTTAATGTATTGTTTGTTGTGTTGCGTATGCAAAACAAAGGATCTGCAGGACTTGTACCTTATAATCCCGAGTTTGAAAAAAAGAAAAAAATAAAAATACAAAGAGGACAAACTAGAAATGAAAATGGAAAACTTTCAAAATAATAACTTGGAAAATCATCATACTTCATTGAGGGATTACGTAAATCCTACGACAGATGAAATTCACTCAAGTATAAAAACCCCTGTCGTAGAAGCTGTCTCATTTGAAATAATTCCTGAGATTATCCAACTGGTGTAGAACAATCAGTTTGGGGGAACTCCTTTGGAGGATCCCTATTTACACTTATAAAATTTTATAGAACTTTGTGCTATATTTCGTTATAACAGTATGTCAGACGATACTGTTAGATTAAGACTTTTTCCTTTCTCACTAAGGGATAAGGCTAAAATGCG